CTACTACCACTAGTACTGCTGCTACTACTGCTACTACTACTGCTACTACTGCTACCGCTACTGCTACTGCTACCGCTAGCTGGCCTGCTGCTGGCAGCTGGCAGCTTGTTGCTGCTACTTACGGCTTTTGCTATGTATTGCTCCTCGCGAGCCCGAAGGTGGCCCCTCGGAGCGTTTCTGGCGGTGCCAGTGTGTGCCAAGGTCCGTTGTTCGGCTTTATGCTACGCTCAAATAGCATTAGGGTTTAGGGATTAGGGCACTCTTTGACTGGCAGGGTTACGGTACCTTGCTTCCGGCTACCATAGATTACAATCAGTTGCACTCACTCTTTTGCCACTGTCGTTTGTAGCTCGCTGGCAGTATGGTGAAGTTCATCCCCTCTTCTCGTGTTCGGTAACTGAACATTCTTGTCTCAGATTGTATGACAAGTGGCTGTACGGTTCAAACACATGACGCTTTCAGCAAGAAGTCCAGTTGCTGATGTCGTGTCACTTTCACACTGGCTGAGAAGCTTGGCAAGACTCATTCGGGTCCGTAGGTAGTCTTCAAGAACACTTGGAGTTTTTGTTTAGATCGCTTCTCGGGTGCTTGCGTGTGCTTTGGGGATGGTTCCGATGCTCATGTCTAGAGATGCCGGTAGCGAACCCACTTGCAATGACTCAGCCGGGAGTATCTTCGTATATCAGCTTGTTGCAAGTGCCACGACGCCAATCCGAATTATTCTTACTAGCAGTTACTAGCAGCGAGTGAGTAGTTGTACCACGATAGGATGATGCGCAGCAATGCTAGCACAAACAGCAGAAAGTTAATCATGATGTCAAGAACCAAAAAGCCGAATTCTGCAATCCTGAGAATATGAAACTTAGCAACCAGCACAGCACAACGACAAGAAGAAGAAGAACAGGACCCACACCCACAGCCACAGTGACAGCGACAACGACGGCCACAGCAACAGCAACAACAACACCACTAACAGCAGCAGCAACAACAACAACAAAAAGGAAGCTGGAGAGTTTGCCGACACAAAGGATGTTGTTGGTCTAGATTTTCCTTGAATTTCAAGAAACCTCGTGTTAATTGCAGTTTTCCTCTCGAAAACGACGTTTGGCGGGACGTGTTATTAATGTCTCTTGCTTTGTCTCGTCGCATGGATGTGAAGAAGTGTCGCAACTACTGTCGTTGCCGTTGGGCACTCATGGGTCTTGTTGGCTTTCGTTTCTCGCGCCAGTTGTAGAGACAACCCACAAGCAGCGTGGCTTTCGACATGTTCAGTCTGACGCGTGATGTCCAGTGAGTAAAGGTGCGCAGGGCGGCAACTAGTTCAGCCGCAATATGATTGATATAGTATAGTAGTAGTCTGCATAATACAAAACAGTATAGTATAACATACTAGAGTATAACATACCATAGTATAGTACCGTATAGCATAAGGCTAAGTGAAACTAACAGAAGGAAGCATAAAACCCGAAGCCGCACATCCATCCTCCCAAGCCTCCCATCGTAAAACCAAATTTCTAACGACCCTAATCAGTCAAAGCCGTGGAGCCGAAATCGGAGATTTTGGCCCCAGCTTCATCCAAGACTCCCAGGCCCAAATCAGTATGCAAAACCCTACAAACTGTTTAGGGTTTGGGGCCTAAAACCCTGAGGGTTTAGACTCACGACGCTGTGAAAACCGATGCGAAAGACCCCGCAACGTGCAAAAAGACGAGCTTCAGCACGACATTCGCGAAGCACTGTAAATTTTCAATGCAAGAGACCCTCAGCAAGAACGCCGGAGGAGGCTATGGACGTCATGGCCCCGATCCTTCACCCGCGGCAAATGTTCTCCACACCACTTCGCTGATGAAAAAGAGACACGACATACCTAGGCCCGGCCGCCATGGACGTCGTGACCCCCTCCCCCACTCAAGCCCAAAACTCGGGCAAATAGAAACACACAGCAGTCATCCAGGCGGGCATCTGCAACATTCTTCCGGGAGCAAAACTCACCCGAATTCCAAGAAGAAGCAGTGAGTTGAATGCCGATACAACTAACCCTGCCAAGGGCCAGAACTCGAGTTTATTAAGAGATGCACAAATCACTCTCAGTACCGATACAAAAGACCCTGTGCACAGACAAGTCACTTCAACTGCAACGTGCCAAAAGTCGAGCTTAGGCAAATCGCAGGCCTCAAACCCAGACATACCCGTCGCTGCGGCAAATGCACCAGCTGGAACAACTGCAATGACCATGACATTAGCAATGCCAATTAAGAACCATCGCCTTTGTCGGCAAGCAAAGTAGTGGCTAGCATTACCACTACCAAAAGTGCTTCCTCCTAACACTACTGACAGCAGGCGCACCAAAACCCAACATCACCAAGAACAACGGTGGCAATGACGATAACTGTCTACTTGCAACAATAAGCTTTGAATGCATGCTCCTGATCCCCGGAGGCAAGAAGCTGTCGAGCGGCGACGGGAGTTGCAATTAGGCCGCAGTGGATCAGGGAGCTCTTGACTGGGGTTTGCCGCAGGTTCAGGGCGTACGGGCTTTAGTGCAAACCTTGAATGGGTAGAACTTATGGGTTCAGGGCTCCAAACCTTGAAAATGCGGAGTCGGTGGCTGTGTGTATAAAAAGCATGAAAGGATAAAGAGGGCCCGAGCATCTACAACGGAATTTGGCTTCCTCGCAAACCGTCGCAGGGGCTTTTGGCTTGAAGCAGGAACCGTTCGAGGATTTTGCAGGGTTTATCGGGCCCTAAAGTTTGCACGTGATATGCTTTGCCCAGGCTATGGGGTTGCGGAGGAGTGGTATTGCGAGATCTTGAGTCGTTAAATTTGAGACAGATATTCTTGCTGTCGGATTCCTTTATGGCAGTTGGCAGGATTATACGGTCCTTCCAGTTCTCCAAGCTAGTCTTGGAGAGGGTCCCTTAACTTTCCGAAACGAGAGACTTCACGATTGATTGAAAAGCGTTATTGATACACCCCTCCCTGACCTGCTGGTTGTAACAGGGATCCCAACACTACTGTATGAGCTTTAAGACAAGGGGATATATCAATCAGGGGATCTACATCACTTGCAAACCCTTAGGCGGATTATGAGTCAGCCCAAAACCATGGGCAGGTCGGCATCTTCCAGGAGCACTCTTTCAGCTCTGAATCCTCAGTCCTTGATTCCGAAACCTCAGCTCCTAATCCTCCCTCGACCCGACACACCCAGAAATTCCCCGATTTAGAGATTAGGGTTTAGGGTTGTCTAGAACTTGTGAACCCTAGTACTCAAAGGCCCTAGTCTCGGAATTTAGGGTTTAGGGTTATGTAAAACTTATGAACCCTAATACGCAAAGCCCCTCGTCTCGGAACGCCAGCCACAGAGCCCAGGCGCCGGCACCAAACGTCCGTACTCTGCCAAGCGATCAGCTCCTAGCAGAGTCCTTGCGCAAGCGACAGGAGGAGGGCAGGGGGGGATTTGGGTTCTTGGTGGTAAGGGATCTTGAAACCCTAAACCCTAAACCCTAAACCCTAAACCCTAGGATTTGGGATCAGGAGTTTGGGGACTCAGAGTTTCTCGTTTCTTCGATCCTTCTGTTTTTTGGGTTACACGGAAAGATTTTGTAAGGCTTTCATTGCAGGAAGCCGGGCTTCCTGAACGAAATTGCACCATGGTCGCATAAAGGTCTTAAGAAAATTCAGAACAGGGGGTAGGGCGTCTTCTAAGGCAAGGAGGATCTTGGTATCAGGGTCTATATTTGGGGCGCATCTGCTCCCATGTTTTCTGACATTCCCAGAATGAGGAGATGTAGTACATGTGTCGAGACCCGAGGATCTGTGGCATGATCGAGCATCCCAGTACCAGCCAGGACCTTAAACCCTAGAAACTAACTCAGAGCTCCTCCCTAAGCTACTCCAGAAAAGGGCAAACCGAGCTTCCCTATATATCCCTAGGTCCCACACCCATCCAAGGACGGAAATACCGTAGAACCCTGTCAGGAGTTGCAGAAGCAGCGACCCAAGCGCTTCATCGTCTGCACCATGCGCGGCTTCCTCAACGTTCACACAGAGCCGGATGACCCCTACAGGCGCCCGGAATGGAGCAACAGCAGTGCGTACATAATGTGCATATATATATATATATGTGCTAGACCAGACAACACACGACAGAGTACTATAGTATTACATGGAAAGTCTTTTGTGTGTTGCACCTGAACTTGGGGGGCAAAGCTTTTTGCATTCAGAGTCATGGCTGTAGACTTCGCGCCATGACGGTCGGCTAGAGTTCAAAGGAGTGGGAGGAGATGAGTTTAGGGTTCAGGGGTTGAGAGTGGGAGGAGATGGTTTCATGTTCACAAGTTTGGCACGCATGGGACAAGTCTTGGACTCCGCGTCGGGTACAGATCCCTTTTTCTCCTGTCTGGCTTTTAAGATGGCGGTCAATCTTGCTTTGCTGGGATTCGGTTTGAAACTGCGAGAGCTGCTCTGCTCAAACAGAGGAGCGCGGCGTTCCCGTTTACTTGGAGTTGACACCACCTCCAGCACATGCAGCCAAAGTATGATGAGGTAGGTGAAGCATGGAGTTACTAGTCTATGAAGTTCATGCGGTTGATGCATTCTAAGCGCAGCTTGCTGCTAGATGCTGTCCTCATTCAGGTCGAAAGTGCGACAGCTGTTGCTGCGACCTCGCGTGTATGTCCGTGCATTGTGACCAGTGCACGATGCAACCACATCGCATCTTCCTTGGTGAGGTAGATGCCCAACAGTCTTGCTAGCCGCATTCACAGACCATGACCGTCAGTTCCCCAAAGATCAACTCAGAGCTCGAAGGGGCGTCCTCCATAAGGAGTATAAGGAGCGATGGGATTCAGCCTTCAGCCATGCTTCTGCAATTTCGTGACCTCCGCTCAGGGCAGACAATGTCGTGGGCCAGCTAGTTGAGGGGCAGATTGTCACAGGTCTGGAGGCCGGGCAGGGATACCCAAAGCGGCCATCATCATCGACGCAACTTTTCCCTAAGCCCCCAGGTACCTACTATATACTAGTACCCTATATAGTAGGTACCTGGGGGGTTAGGGTTTGGTATTACCGGCATGATCAGATCAGAGAGCCCAAGCAGAGCCGAGCTCGTGAGTATTGGTCAGTCTCAGAGGTCGATGTGTAGGTATACAAGCTTATGCAAGTCATGTCTGAAGCCATTCTTTTGAAGCTGCGGTTTGCGCACTCCGCCTTGCATGCCAGCACCACCCGAAGCAACAAGTTAGACAAGTTCCACTTGCAACCTTGAGCTGCAGTGCACCATATGGGAGTTTCCGGAAATAAGGGGGGCCTTATTTTGGGGTCCTTATACTGAGGAATCCTAGTGTTTAAGGTACTATATTAGAGCCCCCTATTTTCGGAAACTCCCATATCTCTCGAAAGCTTCCTGCAGCACAGGAGAAGGGTGACTGGGTCTTTCATGATGCCGGCGGCTGGTCCATTCGTTTTCATGGCGGCTTCGAGTGGTTGAGGCCCGTGGAGGAGCCCGAATGAGCTCTGGAAGACTCTCTGCCCTGTGCTTTGAGAAGAGTTTCCTGCAGGTATCAAGAACACTATCCGAAGTGCCTCCCAGAAAACGGCTACAAGGTGCCCTTCCCTACCAAAAAGTCCGAGAACCCGAAACCTTCTCAAAGCCGCATGATCTCAGTCTCCCCTCCACATCCGGTCAAACTGCAGATTGCGTTTCCCCCGACTCAAACTCTTGAAGCAGGGTTTAGGGTTTGAGATTCCTTGGGATGAATGGCAAAAGGAGCTCTGAGGCCTGGGTAGGCCCGACTGAAGCAAACAACATGCCCTGTCCTTGAAAAGTGTCAGGCCTTAGGGATTAGGGTTTAGACTTCAGGGCTTTAGATTAATTATAGAACATTACAGGTCCCTACTAAACTAGGTCCCAAGCCCTGAACTGCGTTGAGGGGTTTAGGGTTCAAAACCTTGAACCGCGTTGAGGGATCCTTAGCTTCAACATGAAACCCTAAACCCTTAAACCGTTAAACCGTCTATCCCTGAAACCCCCAAACCCTCGAGCCCTTAAGCCCTAAGCCCGAAACCCGTAAACCCTAAAGCCCTAAAGCCGGAGAGAAAGGTTCATCACAGTTCAAAAAAAGCCCTATAAAGCCCTAAGCCGTCAAACCCTATAATCTCTGAACCGTAAACCCTTCAGCGGGAAGGCAAGCTGCAGGCGTCTGTACATAAGCGGAAAATGGCGTCGAGCCGGAGAAAAATCTGAACCGAGACAGCCCAGGGTCCCTCAACTTAGGGTTTAGGGGTTTAGGGTTTAGGGTGTAAGGGTGTAAGGGTTTAGGGTTTAGGGCTTAAGGGTTTAAGGTTTAAGGGTTCAGGGTTTAGGGTTTATGAGACCAGGCAGCACGAGCCTCGACATGCTTTTTTGGAGTAAAAGTTAGTTTGTTTCGAAGGCCCCAGGTATGAGGTAAGGTATGTTTAGACTAAGAAGCTGTGATAAGGCTGTGCAGGGTATGAGTAAGCTTTGAAAACATCAGAACAATAAACTTCAGGCACTCCGGAGACCCAAACATCAATACCTGAAATGTCAGAGCAGCCTCAATGCCCTGCAAGTAAAGGAGCAGTTAGAGTAAACCTTATAAAGACCTTGACAAGAACCCAAAACAAAAACCAAAAGGCCTGTCAAGCCCTTTGACAGTCTTGCGGACGGTCCCGGTATGTCACAGGTTTTGGGGATTAGGGCTCGGGGGTGTATCTTAAGGTTCGGTCAGGCCCCGGAACCACATGTGAACTACTGACTGTCTTACAGATACACCCAGAAGGGTCTGGTTGCTGTAGGGGGCAGAATCCGAATCATTAAGGAAGCATATGCCCGTCCGCACTAGAAAAGCTTTGCCGGATGTTGACTGTAGGGGGGGTTAAACCCTAAACCCTAAGCCCTAAACCCTAAACCCTTAAACCGCTCCCCCACAACACCTACGGCTTGAGGAGTTACCGTCTAGGGTCCCAGCGAAAACACCCCCGAACTACTACCCTCAGCGCTATCACCTACCTAAGGCTTCCCAAAATCCCTAAATTAAGGAGTCTGCCTTCAACTCGAGGAGGATCCCGATATGATTTAAGGTATATCCCTAAATTAAAGGATTTTGGAAGGTCTGGGCATTTTCTTCACATGCCAGCGAAGCCTTGAAGGAATGCCTCCGTAGAAGAAGGAGCTCGTTTGCCGCGGGATGCGGAAGGCCTGTTAGGGTTCAGGGTTTAGGTTTAGGGTTTGGGAGTTGTCGAGTCTAGCCGCGAGGCTGTAATGCAGGGGCGGGTTCAGGGTTTAGGGGTTTAGGGTGTAGGGTTTGGGAGTTGTCGAGTCTAGCCACGAGGCTGCAATGCAGGGGCCTTCATAATCAGGATAGGGTTTGATGTGTGTGCTGCGCTAGGAACTCTAAGGAATAGCATTTAAGGCCCATCGATTGGAAAGAACTTGTTGGTATGGAGCCCAGCAACCAGATCAATCAACCCATTGGATCATGTCCTCAAGAACCTGTGGTATATACTATTGAATACTAAAGGTTCTGAAAACATATGCGTAGTGACCTAAGCTTCGCTAACTGCCATTCGACGGTAGGCTATCCATCACGGGCTCCGCAAAATCAAAACGGCATGTGTAACAAGAATATCACATAACGAAACATAAGGATCTGCAAATCAGCTTTTGTAACGAAGAAGGATCCGCTGTGTCGGGTTGCATAGGTTCTTTCCTTCGTTCTGAGATTTTCCGTCAATGATCACAATCCATGGAGATTGTGGCGGTGTGGCTGCGAGGAAAACCCGACAGCTCAAACCCTGGCCTCCTAAACCCTAAACTGTAGGATCCTTAAGGGAGTACTATAGGGAGAATTGGGCAGTACTGGGTTTTATACCCCCCTTTAGAACCCCCTCCCTTAAGGATTCCGTAACTAAACCCACAACTCAACCTCGAACCCGACAAGCCGCCAGAAGTGAAACTACTAAGGAAGAGGAAGAGGAAAAAATCTCGGGAATACTAATGTGGACTATGGTCACGACACCTATGCTTCAGGTCTCTAGATTTCCCTAAACCCTAAACCCTAAACCCTAAACTCTTACTTGGAGCTTCAAGCTTAGAGTATCGAGGGCTTGGGTCTGGAACTCTTCAACACGACTCGACTCATCAGACCAGGCAGGTCTACCTGTAATCTCCACTACAAAATCCTCAATATATAATGCACTAAACCAAAAAGGGAACTACGATGGAGACTATAGGTAGGGTTTGGGATTGCTTGTCCAGACCCGGAGACCATCAAGCACGCATTGTCCGCGCAACCCCCGAAAACTGATGCGAACCCTCAACTCTACACGCTGACGAACCCCGTTCTCGTACAGCTGCTCCCAATTACAGCAACATACAACGGCCAACACGCTAACCGCTTACGGGGAAGAGCCTGAACCCAAGACCCCGTAGTAAGCCTGCTTTCCGATTCCGCCTGCGGAGAGTTCTTCGGGGATATCACTGAGAGAACAGGGTTCGAAGGATGCGAACCTCAACAGGCTCGGATTAAGTCTTACAGGGCTTTAAAGGCTTTCCCCCAGGTCCTTGGACTTCAAAAGAAGCCCAAAAGTCCCCCCCGCCCAAACCCTAAACCCTAAAGGCCCTGAAGGCCCTGAAGGCCCTAAACCCAATGACTCCAAACCCTAAACCCTCAAGGTCCTAAAGGCCCTAAACCCAAGGACTCCAAACCCCCCCAAATCAATACACCTTCGGAGCTTCAACCCCTTGGACCGATCAGTCCGAATCGTGGGAAACACCGGGCATGGCTTGGGGGCTTTAGTCTTTCTTGGTGTTGGGTGAGTTGGGGGGTTTGGGTTTAGGGTTTAGGTGAGTTGGGGGGTTTGGGGTATGGGTTTCGGGTTTAGGGTTTAGGGTTTGGGTGAGTTGGGGGGTTTGGGGCTTTGGTGGTTTGGGCTTTTGGTGGGTTTGGGGTTTAGGGTTTAGGCTGCGCATAGGCTTTGGGCTGTCAGGTGAACACGATCTACAGCGCCGCTCCATTCGACAGTGTGTGACCGTGGCAGTGGTCTGCCCAAGGGCTCACCTGGCGCCTATATACTGGGTAACTGGTCAGCACAGAAAAGTCAAGATTTACAGAGCTTGCAACCCGTAATCCACCTGTGCTCTCCAATACCGTCTTGCCCGTGTTGTGGCTAAGCACCGTCAAACGATAAACACTATCTCCGGAAAATGTAGGCAGCAGCGTGAGCAGCGCATTACTCAGGCAACTGGAGCCAGGAGCTTCGGATAATCGGATAGCAGCAAGGAAGGTGAAGCCGAAACTTGAGTTTAGGGCTGTGGGATGTCTGGCCTGCAAAGAACCAGATCCGACCGACTCTAAACCTAACATAGCCTACTTTACTGCAGGTTCTCAGAATCAACCCTCATGAAAATCGATGGGGGCCCGGCCCTACCCCAAATAGCTCCAACCCTTGTTCAGAATCAGTAAGAGTTTTGGATGGTTTAGGGTTTAACATGTTTAACCAGGGACTTATTTACGGAATATGTTGAACCCTATCTTCCGTAGAGTGGGAAATATTCTTTCATCAGTGGGAATTTTGCCCCGGGAAGGGAAGGCAAGGTGCGATCAAGTTGCCCCTGCTGCTTGGATCGATATCGATCCCCTCGTAAGGAGCCAGGTAGCCTGCAGCTTTCAGGGCTTTAGGGTCTATCGTACAGCTGTAGAGTGTAGGGTTTAGGCTGGGATATCCATCACGAGTTCAGGGTTAGGGCTAGGGTTTAGGGTATCACGGTTTAGGTCTGCCATTAACCTATCTACCCTAATGAGCTGAAACGGCCTTCTCAGAAATGGCACAGGTCCTTGCCCTAATATTCAAGAACTGTTCTAGTGTTCAGAAATGTATTCACCAAGACTCGGGAATTGGGGATTTGGATCTCATAGTTAAGTCTTTGAGCTTCCAGGCTTAACTACACGCTTCAGCCAAAGAGGATGCAGCTTCTGGCTCACTTGCTGTGCGGCTCAAGAGCACTGCTCATCGCAGTTACGGGTGAGGAATTGCAACCCTAAACCCTAAACCCTAAATTGAGGCGCCTTGCTTCTTTCAGCCTTGGTCTTGGACTGCGATGTCCCAGCCACAAACCCGACCGTACATATCCAGGATCTGCATGCCCGATGTGCAGCAGGCCAGGCAAACATCCTTCTGGATTTATGGATGACAAAAGGCTGCCGCGCGTCAGCCACAGAAACAGGCCAAATAAACACTGGAGACGGCCCTGACGGCCAGAGCCCAGCGAGTACCCTCCACCCTAGCCCTGAATCCTAAACCTGCACCCAAAACCCCAAACCTTAATCATCCTCGCTGCCGAGCCACTGTTTGCTACCATAGACGGGCCTTAGCAACGAATCGAGCGGGTGAAGCAGCCCTAAACCCTAAACCCTAAACCCAAGGGTACCGTGAGCCTTACAGGGGGTTTAAAGTCTACACATAGCCGCCCGGACAAGTTGCAAGCTTCGGCTGATCTGAAGCTCCAAATCACCCCAAGCTTGCAAAGCTACCTGCTACATAGGTCATAGGTATGACACAAGTACATATAAGAGTCTAATGAGTCTAATTAAAACACTTCAGGCTTAAGGAATCATATTGTGGTGAACGATTATACAAGCGCGACGCTGAGGCTTCTGGAGTCTATACTAACCAATAGCTACTTTGAGGGCTACTGTCTATAACAACAGCTGCTTTGCTATTAGAGGTCTACAATCCACAAATAATACGTAGCTTGGTCTACTTGGAGTTAGGGGAGAAACAGCTACATAAGTCTACATCTTTGTGGTGGAGCAGTATGCAAAGAAAGGTATTGAGCATTCCTGCTTCCAGCCTGCAAAGGCGTCTGCTGGGAACCAACCCGAGCCCCAAAACCCTAAATTTCAGTAATGAGCACAGGGGTTCTGCTAATCAAAATCTGGTTTTGGGATTTGTCTTACCATGACTATAATGGGCTAGTATGGGATACTATTAGCGAATAAACTATGAAAGTCCTGCGGTCATTTCGGGGAAGAGTTCCGATGCCCCCGGTGCCGAGCTGCTAAGCGCTCTGTATTGGCGCCTTGAGAATTAGAATGTGGCTCGCGGTGTTTATTAAAGTATGGTTCTACACTGTACACCAACTGTAAGGGCAAAGTTCATACTAAGTGCTCAGTCTTCCATAGTGCCGTCTAAGCTGAACATTATTCATTATGCATCCTCGAGCCTTCCAGTTTCAAGGCTTGCACCAACCATGACGGGCATTGAAAGCCAGGCTGCTATGCACAGTGATAGTGTGGTGGCCTCGCGCTGCCGCAGGATGTGGGGTGTTTCGAACTTGAAACTGGGTTAAGATTCAAGGCTTCCACCCACAGCCGACCCTGGTAAGTAATTCAGGGTCTGTTTAGCTTAACAAACCGCTGAACTCTAAACTTTCAGGTTTGCTGACTATACGCTGTTGCCTTTAGATTTAGGAGGCCTTCTTCAAGGATTACGCGTAGTGCCTGTCGGATATTAAATACTGGCGGAGTTCTGCCCAGTGTATCGCAGCCATGCCAGGCGGAGCAAGCAAGTTGCACTGAATTGTCATGAGTTTGGGATTAGGGTTTTGGAAGCTTATAGCTATAATTAGGGCATCGGGTGCAGGACCAGGGCTTCTGTTGATATCATTGTGGGTTTAGGGTGAACCTCAACACACCAACGGCCCCAAACCCTAAACCTTCTAAACCAGACCATAAAGCCGCAGGCCAATGGTCGAAACCCTAAAAGCCAGTAAACACTTGTTAGTATCCTTCAAGAAGCGTCCTAAGCCCTTCAATTTACGACGGCGGCTCACAGAAGGCTTTCCTAGCAAAAACTACCGAATCGGGACTGCCCAAGTCGCATGCATGGATTTAACAAGGGCTTCATTGGGGTAAAGTTAATCTGCAGTAGCAATTCCAAGAACCGAACGACATAACCCCAAACCCCTGTGCTTTCATACTGCACCGGATGCAGTGCAAACGGCCCGTGGAACCATCTATCTGTTGCCCCATACATCCTGACCCTCGGGAATTCTCCAAAAACGCTATATTCAGCAAAGCCTTAACCCTAATGTCCCAAAACTGCTATATGAAGGCAAAGCAGCTCGCCGAGCGCTGGTGCAACAAGTCGTGGCCATGCTCCAGGAAGTGGAGAAATGTCCTGACAACCCCAGTCTAG